AGAGCAAAGAAGTGAGGGAGTGAGTGAACAAGTGTCACTCAGCCGTTCTCAGTCAAATCAGCTGTGAATGAATACTAGTATCAGCATGCTGGGGTCAGAGTCAGGACGAAAAGGAACTGGCCACCATAACCGCATCACTTTGCGGCTTAGTACAACATGTTCCTCTTCGGAGTGTCCCATACATCCACTTAGATATGAAAACCATGAAAATTCTGACCCTAATGGAGGGCTTGCGCACGCACGAGAGAGAGAGAGAGAGATACAGAGAGAGAGACAGACAGGCAGACACACAGATAGACAGACAGAAAGAGAAAGAAAGACAAAGACAGAAACCGAGAAAGCGAAAAAATGACAAAAAAAGAGAATCCCCACCTCTCTTAACACCCCCCCCTCCCCTAAAAAAAAGAGAGAAGAGAGAGAGAATCCACCTCCAGAGAGAGATAGAGATAGATAGATTGAGAGAGAGAGAGAGAGAGAGAGAGAGAGATCCACCTCCAGAGAGAAAGAGATAGAGAGAAAGAATCCACCTCCAGAGAAACAGAGAAACAGAGAGAACGAAAAATCCACCTCCAGAGAGAGATCCACCTCCAGAGAGAGATCCACCTCCAGAGAGAAAGAGGAAAAGTCAACCAGCTCTTGGAAACTTACTGAGGTGGAGCGAGTACCCGGCGCGCTCGAAGACATCCCTGAGCTCTCCGAGGGCGGTGTAGTTCTTGGTGTGGAAGGTGACGTCGGCGTCTCGCTCCCAGGGCATCACGCCGTTTAGCTTCACGGCGCCTGGGACAAGGAGAAAGGGCGGGGATTTATTATGGAACGAAGAGAAATGGCGGGAAATGATGGTGGAACAAAGAGAAAGGGCGGGGATTTATTATGGAACGAAGAGAAGGGCGGGAATGATGATGGAACAAAGAGAAAGGGCGGATTTATTATGGAACGAAAGAAATGGCGGGGGAACTCGTGGGACAAAGAGAAAGGGCGGGGATTTATTATGGAACGAAGAGAAATGGCGGGAAATGATGGTGGAACAAGGAGAATTGGTAGGAACTCGTGGAACAAAGAGCAAAGACGGGGATTTATTATGGAACGAAGAGAAATAGCGGGAATGATGATGGAACAAAGAGAAATGGCGGGAATCGTGGAACAAAGAGAAGGATGGGAATGATGATGGAACAAGGAGAAATGGTGGGAACTCGTAGGACAAAGAGAAAGGGCGGGATTTATTATGGAACGAAGAGAAAGGGCGGGAATTCGTGGAACAAAGAGAAAGGGCGGGGATTTATAATGGAACAAAGAGAAGGGGCGGGAATGATGATGGAACAAAGAGAAAGGGCGGGGATTTATTATGGAACGAAGAGAAATGGCGGGAACTCGTGGGACAAAGAGAAAGGGCGGGGATTATTATGGAACGAAGAGAAATGGCGGGGGAAAAGATGGTGGAACAAGGAGAAATGGTAGGAACTCGTGGAACAAAGAGCAAAGATGGGGATTTATTATGGAACGAAGAGACGGATGGGGATGATGATGGAACAAAGAGAAATGGCGGGAACTCGTGGATCACCGGGAATTTATTATGGAACAAAGAGAAATAGCGGGAATGATGATGGAACGAAGAGAATTGGTGGGAACTCGTAGGACAAAGAGAAAGGGCGGGGATTATTATGGAACGAAAGAGAAATGGCGGGAACTCGTGGGACAAAGAGAAGGATGGGAATGATGATGGAACAAGGAGAAATGGCAGGAACTCGTGGAACAAAGAGAAAGGGCGGGAATTTATTATGGAACGAAGAGAAATGGCGGGAAATGATGGTGGAACAAAGAAAGGATGGGAAGGATGATGGAACAGAGAAGAAATGGTGGGAACTCGTGGACAAAGAGAAGAGGCGGGAATTTATTATGGAACGAAGAGAAATGGCGGGAAATGATGGTGGAACAAAGAGAATAATGGGAATGATGATGGAACAAGGAGAAAGGGCAAGAACTAACGGTGGAGCAAAGAGAAAAAAGTATTATGGGACAAAGAGAAAAGGCGGGAAATGATGGAACAAACAGAAGGATGGGAATAATAATGGAACAAAGAGAAAGGGCAGGTACTCGTGGAACAAAGAGAAAGTGAAAGAACTGATGGTGGAAACAAAAAAATGTAATGGGACAAAGAGAAAGGGTGGGAACTGATGGTGAAACAAAGAGAAGGATGGGGAATAATGATGGAACAAAGAGAAAAGGCGGGAAATGGAGGAAGAACAATAAGAAGGCAAGAACTGCTGATGGAACAAAGAAGACTGGAACTGATAGTGGAAGAAAGAGAATAATGAGTACTGACGATGGAACAGAGAGAGAGAGAGAGAGAGAGGATGAGTGTCATTCACTGTCATTCAGTTAGCAAGTAAACTATTTACTATTTATTCGGTTAGTCAATGAGTGAGTTTGTGAGTGAATAGATTAATAATTTGTACTTTCATTCAGTCAGTCAGTACTGCAGTTAGTTATTGGGTCAGTCAGTCAATGAGTGAGTGAGTGATTCATCCAGTATGGATGTACATACATACATCCAAGGAAAGTATAACTAGGTACGATCATTCCATCTTGATGAAAATACTAGTTGGCAACTTCTAAGTTAAGCCCCGCCCTATCAGCTTTATTCGTTGCAAATATTAAATATTAGTTTGTTTGCTTTTTCTTTCTTTTTGTCTTCTTTTTCGATTTTTTGCCTTTGTTATTACTGAACCATTTTCAAAGATGTACTAAAAAGCACTCACTATAAAAAATATCACACGAATTATTAGGGTCAAGAAAGGGGGGCAGAGCTAATGACGTCACCACGTTTAGCCAATGAGAGTGCACTGTGAGATGCTAGATACAGCTAGATACACGACTATTTGGACAATTTACTTGCTATTGATATGATTATCAGAAGTAAAAACAAAATTCCCCTCTTTTATTTACGTTAACAAAGAGTTCCTTACAATTGACAGCTGTCAGAATACCATAGGGAAAAAGTCAAATTTAGTTTTGGTTCAATAGGCAAAATGGGCGTACTTACCTAATTATACTTTCCTTGCGTACATCCATCTATTCATCCACCTATCCATTTATCCATACATACATACACACATACACACGTACGTACATACATGCATACGTTGCACGCGTACCAAAATATATCCATCCATACATTCACACATACATACATACAATGAAATATGTAAACAAATATATAAACAAACAAACAATCACACAAATATCCATCCATCTATACATATAAATAAATACATACATGAATACATACAGCAAGACATTTCTAAAAAGAAGGAAAAATGACTTCCAAAAATAACAGAAAAAAAACGAGTCATATTAGTAAAAAAAAAAAAAAAAATGCTGGATTTTCCTAAATTGACCAATCACATGTCATGATTTGTCAGATTACGTTCAGTCTCGAAATCAAAAGGACCCGGAAATGACTCCAAGAAATCTCGTAAACCATTTGAATTCGTAAAAAAAATTCTCATCGCTAAATCTCATTAATTTGCTGTGAAATTAGACCGATTAATTATCAATGAAGTTTTTGTAATCTGGTCCATTTTTTCTGTAATCTTACACAAATACATTTAGTACCTAAGAGAGAAAGACAGAAAGAGAGAGAGAAAAAAAAGGCAGAGAGAGAGAGAAAGGAGGAGAGAGAGAGAGAGAGACGAGAGAGAGAGAGAGAGAGAGAGAGAGAGAGAGAGAGAGAGAGAGAGAGAGAGGGAGAGAAGAGAGAGGAGAAGAGAGAGAGAGAAGAGAGAGAAAGAGAGAGAGGAGAGAGAGAGAGAGAGAAAGAGAGAAAGAGAGAGAGAGATAAATGTAATAATGCTCATAAGTATACCAAATCACCCTCACATCCAAAGTATACAATGCCATGAACTAAAATCATATTTACCTACACGCAGATATCATGACAAACGAATAAATTAATCATAAAATCAACAAATGATGAAAACTTAGACAACCGGACATCCGGTCAAGACGAAAGCGGCTGTGACTCCCAACGTAAAAGGCCGGTCATCTTAGGTCATCTTAGGTCATGCAAACTGCCAATTCCATTAAATGTTCCACTTTAAGATGCTATTTCCGTTTGTTAAATCGAGAAGCGGTTTGGAAAAAAATGTGGGCCAATTGTAATAATTAACTTGGTTAAGAGTTCTAATATGAAAATTATAGCATTGGTATTGTCTTCCGTTGGTTTATTTCATTTTCTTTATTTATTTCTAATTCTCCTTTTTATCTACTTTTTTGTTTCTTTCTTTTTCCTCTTCTTCTTCCGCTTTATATTCTTTCTTCTATTCTCAGACTGAATTAAGTTCTTCCGGTGGAAAAGGTAAACCCGAAATGTTGGATACAAATAAAAGAGGGAAATGAACATAAAGAAATAAGAAAAGCTACTTGGCCTCTGCAGCTGCGACGGAAGCTGAAGACACTGGATCTTGGCGATTTGAGAAGCTGCTTAGAAGGATTATGATTATGTGGAATGCGATTTCTTATCGACGATGGAATGTGTCTGTCAGAGTCAAAGTATGTTAAAAGTACGAATTGAAAAACAAAGAAGAAACGAGTATTGTGTGATCATGGATGGAGTTCCTGCCAGGAGGAGGAAGCGGACAGGAAAATATTGTTATAATAGACAGCAAAAAAAAAAAAAAAAAAAGAAGAACAGGGCAGATCACAGCCCCCGAGGCAATCTCTGGCGAGACTCACCTAAGAGGGTTCCTTCCTGCAGCTCGCACAGCAGGCCGTGGGCGTCACACGTGTCCATGAGGAACCTGACGAGCGAGGCCAGCTCCTGGCGGCAGCACGGCGGCAGCGCCACGCCCTTCTCGCCGCAGTTGGCGCCCACGTCGCTGCACGAGAAGGTGTAGCGCACGCCCGCAGGCGCCTGCACCACGTAGAGGCTGTGGCGGCGGGCGAGGCTGAGCCAGGCGGCGCGCGGCGGCGGTGGGAGCTCTGTGCGGACGCGGAAGAGCGCCTCGGGGCACGCCGCCGCCAGCATGTGGTGCGAGTGGGCCGCCCGCAGGAACAGGTCCAGCTGGGCCACCTGCGCGGGCAGCTTGGCGTCCCAGGCCAGGTGGCGCAGCGCCGCCGTCAGGGCCAGGAAGGGGCCCTCGAGGGAACTGCACAACAGGCACCCATGGGCGGCGCCCAGACGCCCGCGCTCCCACTCCGCCTCGTAGTGGGCGTTGCGGGAGGTGAGGCACCCCGTCCGCCAGCGGTTCGTGGGCGTTTGGAGGCCGCCCGAGACCGCCCACACCCCAAGGTGTTCCGCCGCCCACACCAGGCGCTCCAGCCGAGCCAGGCGCGTGAGCGAGGCCATGCCGGAGGTGAGCAGGACGTAAGGCGTGGTCACATGATCCAGCGCGGCCACGTGCGCGGCGACCAAGGACGCGTTGGCGGCGACGGTATGCAGCAAGAGACGCAGGCGGTGGGCGGGCGGGCGAGGCGGCGGCGTCGGGGCGGCCACGTGCACCGCGACGCCGGGATAAGCTCGGCTGACGCTGGCGAGGAAGTCCTCCGTCGCCGCGTCGCCCGCCACCACCACGGACACCACTTTCACCACATCACTCGCGCTCATATTGGAAGCCCAGACGCCACCTCGAGGCGGCGGTTCAACACTGTCTGTGTCTCCGTTGATTACCGAAGTCTTTTTCTCCCTTGATTTATCACTGGCCGAGCGCTCCCTCTGCCTCGGCGTCCACGCGCCCCGCGCGCCCGCCCTCTCCCCCGCCCTCGCCACGAGTCCCATCTTGGCCGCGCGCCGCCACTGCCAAGCGTCAGCGGAAATATTTACACTCGCCTGCTGGTCGCGGCCGGCCAGCGGCTCGTCCTGCGACCGAGCGACCCTCGGGGCCCCGCGGGTAGTCCTTTGGGATTCCCGCGTGACGAGGCTCGCCGGGCCGCGCGCCGGGCCCTGGGCATGCAGCCTGCGGCTCGTGCGAGGCGGCGTCTGCAGGCGGCGGCTCGGGAGGTCCGGGTAGATGCTCTGGCTCTGGTCGTGCGAGGAGTCGACGAAGTCCTCGTCGCCCCGCCCGCGCCCGCCCCCTGCAGGAGGCCGGGCGGGCAGGGGCGTCCTCTGACTCGCTCTCCTCGACGGCTCGGCGGACATGGCCGGGTACACGTGCCGGAGCTCTTCCCTCCGGCTGCTGAGTTTCTGCTGCTGCTGCTGAGAGACGTTGATGTGCTGCGCCCGCACGCCCGCTGGCCTCTCCTGCCGGGCATCCGTTCCGGCCTGGGCGTGCTCCAGGCCGGGTTTGTACAGGTAGGGATTGAGGCGAGGAGAGAAGTGCGTGAGGAGAGTGTCCTGGAGGTGCGCCACCCGCTCGCCCAGCGTCGCCACCTCGTCTTGCACGTCCCCCGCCACCTGCAGCGGAAACACGTCTCAGACACGATCGGGGCGGAGGCATGCGGGGGCAGAGGAGGGAGGAGGGAGAGAGAGCAGTCAGATAGAAAGTGAGGGAGAGAGAGAAGGAGTAGCCTTTGTCTAACTACACATAATTCTACATATATGAGTATATCCATATAAAGTATATGTGTATCAATATATATTTGAATGAGTGTAAGTATGTGTGCGCGAGCATGTTTCTAAGTGAATGTGTATGTGTGTTTGTGTGAATTTGAGTGTGTTTGAGTTTAAGATTACGTGCATTTAAATGTATTTGTGTACGTAGGAATGAGCGTAAGTGTGAATGCGTATGAGTGTATGTATGTTTGAGAGAGTCGGTGGCATCACCACCCCTGGGGTTGGCACTCTAGTCCCTGCACCGCACCTGCTGCGCCTTTTTGAGCGTCACCCTGAGGGAGGTGAAGGTGGTGTGCAAGGTGTAATAGTAGAAGGCACCCACACCGCCGGCCCCCGCCTGGCCGGCGCCCGCAGGAGGGCGTGGCGAACTTCTGTCAGCGCCGCCCGCGGAAGCGCCCATGGCCTTTGCGAGGCGCGAGCCCCACCCGTCGCCATCTCCAGCTGCAGCGCCCCCGTCGGCTGCGTCTCGGAGATCCGCGCTGCCCACGGCCCAGCACAGCTCACACGGGTCCACCTCCTTGGGCGGGGGCGTGTGGGCGGCATGGGCGGCGTGAGCCCGGGCGGCGTGATATGCTCTAGAAAAGAGAGAGACATTCGTTTATTTCTCTTAATTGAGTTTATAATGAAAGTGAAACCAGCATCAACACCAAGAAAAGAGGGCAAAGCCTGGAAGTCGAAGTAAAGATTGATGGCACTGTGAGTTCCTCCCTCCCCCTCCCCTCCCCCTCCCTTCCCATGACCCCTCCACCCCTTCCACGACCCTCCCCCTCCCATGACCCCATTCCCCCTCCCCTCGCCCTCCCATGACCCCATTCCCCCTCCCCTCGCCCTCCCACGACCCTTCCCCTCGCTCTCCCCTCCCCCTCGCCCACCCCTCCCACAACACCTTCCCCCCTCCCCTCGCCCTCCCCTCCCACAACCCCATCCCCCCTCCTTCGCCCTCCCCTCACCTGAAGGCGTGATAGTCCGGCAGTGTGACGGAGAGGAAGAGCAGCATCCACGAGCATCCCGTGAGCGTGAGCAGGAGCAGCTGGATGGAGGCGTGGCGGCCCATGGTGCCTCCGATGAGCGTCGTGGCCCTCCGGGAGAGCTTCAGCCTCCAGCTCGATCATACGGCGCCCGCATCCTCGCCCGCAGAAGGCCGCAAGGAGCTCGGGCGTCTCCGTAGCTGGGGGTTCTGCGGGAGGAGAGAGGCGGAGGGTCAGTCTAGGGAAAGGGTTTGGAGGAGAGGAATAAGGGGGAGGAGAGGAAGAAGAAAAGGAAGGGGAATAAAAAGCTAGAGATAAGGAGAATCGTAGGTAAGAGAAAATAAGGCACAGAGAATAGAGAAAGAGAGCGAGAGAAAGAAAGAAAGAGAATGAGGAGATAGGAAGCAGAAAATTAGAGACAGAGAGCATTAAATTAAAGCAAAAGAATAAAGAAAAGCCAAAAGCAGAGGAACATGACGAATCCCGTAAAAAAAATATTATAAAAAAAGAAAAATAAAAAAATCGTATTAAATTGATAACCTGACTAGAAAGCTCTGCGTGTCTCCGAGGAAAATTGTCTTGGCTAATGACTAAGTTGCATATTCAGACATCATTCCACCGGAGTTGTTCGCTTTAACGAGGCTATTTCGGGCCGAAGAACTCTCCCTTCCTACAGAACTTTTGCCAGCCATAAAGGGTGACTTATAGTGAACAACAAGGCAACATTAGCGACAGCCTGTGGACATTAGTGAACTGTTCAAAAGTGTTTGGTCGGCATTTCCATCTTATTACCCACGGGAGAAACACGCACATACATGCTTACATACGCACATGAAAGAAAGTAAAATTAATTAAGGAAAGATATTAAGATTGAGATGGATGAAGAGAGAGAGAGAGATGGATAGATAGAGAGAGAGAGGGAGGAGCGGAGAGGAATCGATAGATAGATAGACGGAGACAGAGAGAGAGAGAGAAGGAGGGGTGGAGAGGGATCGATAGATAGATAGATAGACGGAGACATACAGAGACAGAGGAAAAGAGAGAGAGAGGGAGGGAGGGAGAGGAATCGATATAATAGATAGATAGACGGAGACAGAGAGACAGAAGAAAAGAAAGAGAGAGGGAAGAGGCGGAGAAGGATCGATAGACTGATAGACGGAGACAGACAGAGACAGAGGAAAAGAAAGAAAGAGAGAGAGGTGAGAGAGGAATCGATAGATAAATAGATAGACGGAGACTGACAGAAACAGGAAAAGAAAGAGAGAGAGAGAGGGAGGGGTAGAGAAGGATCAATAGATAGATAGACAGACAGAGACAGACAGAGAGGGAGGCCGCATTATGACCGCCAGGGGGAAAGGAGGTTGGAGTCCTTCAAACGAGGGAGAGCAGGTGTTATGCAACGCCGCCTGAGGATCTTTCTGACGTCTTCAAAGAAAAGAAAGGAGACATCTTAACGACATTGCATAAAAATGTGTCTGCAGTACTCAAAAAAATATATGTAAATGTATTTTTTATTTTCATAATGCGATTTTTTTAGTGATTAGAATTTTAAAAAGAAAAAAATGTAGCGGCCTCTTTCGTTCTCTTTCGATCTATCTTTTATCTATCTATCCTTCCTCATTTCCTCTTCCTTCTTTCTCTCCTGCTACCTTTCTCTTTCCCCTTCCCTCTTCATCTTCCTCTCTCTCTTTCTCGTCCTCTCTCTCTCCTTCCTCTCCCTCCCTTCCCTCCCCACCCTTTCCCCCACCCTCTTCCTAACTCTTCCTCTCCCTCTTCCCCTCTCACTCTCCTCTCCCTCTTCCTCTCTCTCCTTTCCCCTCTCACTCTTCCTCTCCCACTTCCCACCTTCTCACCCTTCCTCTCCCTCTTCCCACCATCTCCCCCCCTCTTCCTCTTCCTTCTCTCCATTCCCCTCTCCCCCTTCCTCTCTCTCCCTTCCCCTCTCACCCTTCCTCTCTCTCCCTCTTCCCAACCTCTCCCCCTCCCTCTTCCCCTCTCACCCTTCCTCTCCCTCTTCCTCCCTCTCCCCTCCCCTCTCCCTCTCCCTCTCCCAGCGAAAATAGCCATGGGGAATGCTATGAAAAAAGGCTCTCTCGGTTAAGTCACGGAAGGGCTACTAGACTCTACAGACCCTTCACAAGTGCTACGAGAGGCTACTTTGGCGGTCCAGGTGAGGGAGAGTAGGGAGGGGGCGGGGGGGAAGGCCTATGTCCAACGACGGATTTAAAAGGGCTGAGAGAGGGGGGAAGGGCTAAGAGAGAGGGGAGAGGGGCTAAGGAGAGGGGAAAGGGATGAGAGAGAAGGGAAAGGGGCTAAAAGAGAGAAGGGAAAGGGATGAGAGAGAGGGAAAAGGCCTGAGAGAGAGGGGAAAAGGGCCTGAGAAAGAGGGGAGAGGGCTGAGAAAGAGAGAGAGAGGAAAGGGCACCGCGAGGGGAATGGTGAGGAAGAAGAGAAAGGGGATAAGATGAGAGGAAGGATCAGGGAGAAGGGGAGGGGGAGCAGTGAGTCATCTGAAACCCTTCCGAGTGTGAGGTGGTTTCCGGAGACACGAGGGAAGCCTGATATAAACACAGGGAAACTTTCCGATTTTCACGTCTCCTAGTTGTGCGTTGAAGGATAATCATAATGATGATGATGATAATAATAATAATAATTTAGGGTTTGCTGTGACAGGCTCTTGTGACATCAGTCAAATGGTGGCTTGCCTGTTTATTATGCTTCTAAACTTCCCCCTGTGTGCGAGGAATGGCCGGGGTGACCATCCACTGGCGGTGCGCGGGAATCGAACGCAGGTCAGCGAGATCGCTAGACGAAAGCGCTACCACGGCACCACACAGCACACATGATGATGATTATGATAATTGTAATGACAGTAATGATAATAAGAACAATAGCAACAATGATAATGATGAAAAAGAATGATAACAGTAACAAAAACAATGGTAAATATTTTTAAAAATAAAACCAATTATAGAAATAACAATGGTTACGGTGATAATAGTGATGGTGATGATGATGGGGAGGAGGAGGAGGATAATTGTATTAATAATAATCATAACAATGACCATGATGATGATTATGATAACAATGGTGTTAATAACTATTATACCACTAATACTACCACTACTAATAGTGATTATGATATTGATAATCGTCATATTTATTATTACCATTATTGTTATTATTATTACCATTATCATTATTACTATTATGATGATGATAATAATAACAGTTATCATGATGATAGTTATTGACATTATAATGATAATAATGATAACAACAGCAATAATATTGATGATGATGATGATAATAGTAATAATAATAATAATGTTGATAATAATAATGATAATAATAATAATGATAATGATAATAATAATATAATAATAAAATAATAATAATAATAATAATAATAATAATGAAAATAACAACACCAATAACAAAATAATAACGAAATCAAAGTCTTGTACACTCTNATATATATATATATATATATAATTATATATATAATATATTATACATACATACATACATACATACATACATATATATATATATATATATATATACATATATACTACATATACATGTGTATATATATATATATTGTATATATATATATATATATTATATGTATATACATGTGTGTGTGTGTGTGTGTATGTATGTATGTATTATATATATATATATATATATATATATATATATATATATATATATATATATATATATCCTGAATGAAATGTAAAAATTGCCAAACAACCAAACGTACGGTGCACGCTGCACGCAAATAGCATCAGGTAAACAAACAAGCGCAAAGCTTGGCACCGGACGAGAGTGCCCTTTCTGGCCGACGGGTTTTTGGCACCACTGCGCCAACTCGAGATCAAGAGTCCCCGTTCAAACCAAATCTATTCTTAAAACATTCGTTTGTTTAAATCTCTGGGTTTAACAGTCTTTGTTATTGCTTTGTCGCGTTGTGTATGTTGCTGCCATGTGGAAATGTGGTGTATGTTGGTGGGCGGTATATGAGTGCAAATGAGGGTGAGTACATGTGTGTGAGCATGGACACACACACACACGCACGCACGCACGCACGCACAGGCACACGTACGCACGCACACACGCACGCACACACACGCACGCACACACACGCACACACACACACACACACACACACACACACACACACACACACACACACACACACACACACACACACACACACACACACACACGATCATTTATATAAGTAAAACATGCACACACACGAGAATCTAAAAATGTTGCATAAAACTCATGTAACGGTAGTAATTTGTTTTGAAAACATTTCCTACCGATTATCTTCGATTTCTGAATCTTTGATTTCAGATATTTTAATTCTGAAATTAATGTATTGGAGTGTAAATTGATAAAGAAAAAATTCGTCGACTTAAATGAAGCGGAAAATAACTTACGTAAAAGACAATTTTCGTTTGCATTCGTAAGTAGCACATATAGAACTACGCTGTATGTTTTTTTCATAAATCATAATGATTAGTATTTCACAAATCATTTTGTATCCCAATCAACATTGCATATAAGTGATACAAAGATTTTTTTTTAAGTATAAAACATTTCAATTTCTAAATCAGAAGAAACGCATTACGAACATATTAGTAGTGTCATTGCATAGCGCCAATTTCATGTTGCGAAGAAGACAGCTCGCATTTATAATCAACGCGTATTGGTCTGCAATTGCCATGCAGGGCCAAGAATGCAATGGACAAGGGGTACATCATAAATCTGTTTTAGTTTATATAAGTTAAATAAATTTCTCGGTGCAAAATCGTTTCAATGTCTAATAATGTGGAAATGTTTTAGGTCCGTACTTCTTGCGGTTCGTGATGTAGTGTTTTTTCAAGTTGTTTGCTTTCTTTTTATTTGTCTGTGTACGTGCGTGCATGCATGTGTGTATATGTGTATATATGTATGTGTGTGTGTGTGTGTATGTGTGTGTGTGTGTGTGTGTGTGTGTGTGTGTGTGTGTGTGTGTGTGTGTGTGTGTGTGTGTGTGTGTGTGTGTGTGTGGTGTGTGTGTGTGTGTGTGTGTGTATGTATATGTATGTGTGCGTGTTTTTGAGTGAGTGTGTGTGTCTGCGTGTGTATGTATGTGTCTGTGAGCGTGCGTGCGTGTGCGTGCACACACACACACACACATACACACAC